GCTCAAGTAGCTGCGAGAGGCACGATCTTTCCACTCGAAATCCATGTTGGCCTGGGTTGTGAAGGTCATTGGTCTCCATGAAATTGGTGACCTGACTCCTAATCACTCTCTCAAATACTTTTATTGTGTGGGACGTTAGTGCAACTGGTCTATAATTCTTTGCCAATGCTTTGCTCTCTCCCTTGTGTAGAGGGGCTATGTCTGCTACTTTAAGTGCATCTGGTATCTCCCCCGTGTCCAAGCTCTTCCTCCACACTATACTGAGTGCCTGTGCTATCGGCACTTTGTATTTCTTTATAAATATTGAATTCCATGAATCTGGACCTGGGGCCGAGTGCATGGGCATGTTTTCAATTTCTCTTTCAAAGTCTAGTGGGCTCGTGTTGATATCAGTTATATTTACAGGGGTTTGAATATCCCGCATAAAGAAATTGTCTGGATCTTCCACTTTCATGTTGTTTATCGGAGTGCTAAACATGTCCTTGTACTGTTTTCTTAGGATTTCACTAATTTCTTTGTCATCCTCCGTGTATGAACCTTCACTCGTACGAATAGGTCCAATACTGGCTGTGGTTTTTGCTTTTGATTTCGCATATGTGAAGAAGTATTTTTTATTTTTATTTATTTCCTGCTTTGCTTTCTGTTCTAACTGCCTTTCTTCAGTTTGATATGAGTGTTTCAATTTCCGCTCGATTTCTTCAATCTCCCTACTTAAATTATTCCTTCTTTGACGGGAAATTAGTGTCTGCATAAGCATCTCCGTTATTTTATTTCCTTCGTTTATAGTGTCGTCTGCGTTCTCTTTCTACGTTGGATCTCTTTCTGGTTTTCCTCAAAGGAACATGTTTCAGACAGACTTCATACGCTTCCGAAGTCAGTTTTTCTATTCCTTCTGTAGGACTTGTATTACTTAAAACACTTTCCCATGGAATGTTTGTAAGTTCCCTGTTTATTATCTCCCAGTCTATCCTTTTATAATTAAAATTAAATTTACTGAATAGCCCCTCTCGCTTCATCAACGTTTTAGGTCTATTCTGAGTATTGATGGTCGTTTGCACTTTTATATGAAAAGCTGAACATTCTGTGTTCAAACATTTATTCTTATTTAAAGAGTTCTTGCACAGTTCTGGGTGAAAGAGATCACAGCTTTTGGTATATTTACCTGTACAATCGACTTGAGAATGGTCCAGGACGGACCGAAACGTCGTCGTCCCTTCACCTTCTAGTGTGTGGTCTGGTCAACATACTTTAGCCACGTTATTGTGACTCATCGCCTGCATACATTTACCTGTACTAAGAAGGGTCCTGCACTTTCTGGGATGATCATATTTACATTGTCCATTTGTTCTCCCTGATATCCAATGCTTACAGATACCCCATTAATAATATCGGCAGATTTTGAGTCCTTGTTTTGTTTATTTCAAAACCCCTGGCACCAATATCGTACCCGGTTCATGCGCCCGACCCCAACGTTGCGTCCGGTGTCATAGCATCTGGCCCAAAAACAACAATGCGTCTGGCCCTGACGCCAACGTCACATCTGGCCCCGACGTTAACGTTGCATCCGGCCCCGACGCGCTGTGACGTAGCTTCAATTCTGCTTCTGCCTGGGTGTCCTTGAGAATTTGTTTGAAAGCATTGGAGATTTCCGTGCAGGCAGTTAGAAGTGATTCTCTGTGCTCTGCTGGGGTTTTATCAAGAAATGCGATCATCTTCAAGACAGTAACATTATCCTTTTTACAGAACCAGTACACCGAGTGGGGTCTGGGACCAATTTTCCTGGCATTATTTGACATGTTGGAACATTTACTGTGTGTGGCTCCTGAACATAGTTGGCACTCGAAGCTCTGGTGGTAATCTACCTTCTTGTTGCATTTTGTGCACATCTTGACTAAAAGCATTCTGACCATAATGCTTCTGGTCAGTGGCGGAGGTGGTAAGGCAGTGGACCGTTGGTTGTTGACCAGTGGTAAAGGGGATGGGGGGGGGGGGGAGGGCGACCCTTCACAGCCTAGCGAGTGTGTACACAGATCAAACCTCGTGGCCCCTGTAGACCGAGTCTGGTGTGTGTGATGCCTCACTATTCACTGAATTATACGTTCCGAATTTTCCACGTGGCAATTTTCCTACACTTTCAAGCCTTTATGCCTGTTTTTTTACTGTTCACTATTCACCGTATCATTGTTCACTATTGTCTAAGTATACCGAGGTAAGTATATGTAGACTTGAGCCTCGTGTAGAGCCTCGTGTAGGCACTCGTTCCCACGTGGGCTGGTGTAGGTGGGTTTTCGCTATTAATCACAAAGTTCTAATGGCATCACTGTATTTTTTCTTTCCTAAATGTGGTTTTAAACTTTGTGATAACTGTGGTCCGTGTTCTATCACTGTAATCCTAATATGTGTGCGACCCATACCCTCCCACGCACAGGACAACTACACAACGTTGAATATGACCGAAAGGATAAGATTAATGATTCTAACACGAATCTTCTCAATATTTCTTCGCTGTCGGGGGTAGTTGAAAAGTGAACTCTCCAAAGTTCATTTTCACTCTTTATTTATGGTCTGACGCCTAGAAACGTTTCGCAAGAACACTTCTTACATTTTCAAAGACAATTTTGTTTTACATACTCAGATCGTGCTTATATTCGTTTTTGGGTGAGGTGATAGGACACAAATGTTTTGGGTGAGGTGATAGGACACAAATGTTTTGGGTGAGGTAACAGGACACAAATGTTTTGGGTGAGGTAACAGGACACAAATGTTTTGGGTGAGGTGATAGGACACAAATGTTTTGGGTGAGGTAACAGGACACAAATGTTTTGGGTGAGGTGATAGGACACAAATGTTTTGGGTGAGGTGACAGGACACAAATGTTTTGGGTGAGGTGACAGGACACAAATGTTTTGGGTGAGGTGACAGGACACAAATGTTTTGGGTGAGGTAACAGGACACAAATGTTTTGGGTGAGGTAACAGGACACAAATGTTTTGGGTGAGGTGATAGGACACAAATGTTTTGGGTGAGGTGACAGGACACAAATGTTTTGGGTGAGGTGACAGGACACAAATGTTTTGGGTGAGGTGACAGGACACAAATGTTTTGGGTGAGGTGACAGGACACAAATGTTTTGGGTGAGGTGACAGGACACAAATTAATGGGACAAGACAGAACACGAAACAATGGGTACATTACATGCTTTATCTTCTTGCTTCTGTGTTGGCTCGGGGTCTTGAAGTGGGTAGAATGTAATTATGTGTTGATTGGCTGTTGATTGCTGTAAGAATTTAAAACTAAAAAAATCAATGCATCAATGTTCGTAATAAGGCAAATAGGGCACTGGGATTTATTAATCGAAGCGTTAGTAATAAGACACCTGGTGGTGTTCTTCAGCTATATCTTGTTCTGGTTAGGCCCCATTTAGATTATGCAGTTCACTTTTGGTCGCCGTACTATAGAATATATATATATATATATATATATATATATATATATATATATATATATATATATATATAATATAATATAATATAATATAATATAATATATTTAATATTTCACTAGAACGTGCCCAGTGTAGGATGACAAAGTTAATCCTCCCACATTAGAAACCTGTCATATGAAGAAAGATTGACAAGGCCATTCTCTACATTTTACTACTGTAAAATGTAGAGTATGGCCTTGTCAATCTTTCTTCATATGACAGGTTTCTAATGTGGGAGGATTAACTTTGTCATCCTACACTGGGCACGTTCTAGTGAAATAAATATTAAATATATTATATTATATTACATATATATATATATATATATATATATATATATATATATATATATATATATATATATATATATATATATATATATATATATATATATTTTATATTCATATATATACATATATACTTACATTCTCTAGAAAGGCGAAGAATTAGGGGGTGACATGATAGATGTGTACAAGTGGATGAATGGCCATAACAATGTGGATATTAGTATTATTATTAACATCTTTATTGACAAAATTAATTACAATTTTGCCTAATCTGAGGATTTCATCGGTAACAGGGTTGTTGATTTCTGTAACCAATTGCCACGTAACGTAATAGAATTAGGTTCCCTTGATTGTTTCAAGCCTAGGTAAGACATATGTGAATGAGATTGGTTGGTTATAAAGAGAAGCTGCCTCGTATGGGCCAATAAGCCTTCTACAGTTTCCTTTATTCTTATGTTCTTGTGTAGTGCAGATGTGGCCTGTGGAACCCCAGCAACGGCGAGTACTCTTAGTTACCTCAGGAGAAAGATGATAGTTTAACACTTAATTAATCGTTTTAATTATGTACGGTATAATGTACAGATTTAGAAGCTTTATTTGTCAGTGATTTTTATGAATTAAAATTAGAGCATTGCACCTGTTATTTTGTCTTCAATACAGGTACTGCTCTGTAGCCTCCGAATCAATTAAGAGCAATTTGTATGCTTGCATCCCAATTTCTATTACAGTACAAACCCAGCTGATAAATGCTTTGCTTGGGGGAGGAGCATGCATGTAGACATCTGACCAGTGATACATTATGGACATCTGCACACTGTTCTTCTATTTTCATAGAGTACACCACACATATGAGCTGTTGTGGGAGCCTGTGAAGTATGGTTGTAAGTCCAGGATGATGTGTACACTTACAACCCGCTGCACTGCCTCTCTCTCACAAGTGGTCACTGCTATCACAGTTCCACGCTCAGCACACCACTGCTATTTCTTATCTTATTAATATTACCATCTTCCCTGTGAGCTTTGACATGGACGTCCCCTGCCTTCTCTTCCAGTGGGCCACTCTGTGTTTAGTTGGAGTGGGCTGCACTATTATAAAGTGGGCTAGGCTGTTTACACAGAGTGGCTCTCCTGTCACACTGTCTGCTGTGCCACAGTGAGTCAGCCATCGCTGGAGCCGTGTTTGTGTCATAGCAGCGTGCCACTAACGCCGCCTTCTCCGTCTTCCACAGAAACAAGCGATGCTGGTGTGGCAGCTGGAGGAGGAGCTGCGTCACCACAAGAACCTCGGCCCCAGCCTGGAGGTGCAGTGATTTACGCCTACCCGCCACCTCCTCTCTCCCTCCCAACACTCCTGCCTCGCTCTACACCGTTGCTTTATCGCTAGCCTTCTCTCTCCCTCCCAACACTCCTGCCTCGCTCTACACCGTTGCTTTATCGCCAGCCTTCTCTCTCTCCCTCCCAACACTCCTGCCTCGCTCTACACCACTGCTTTATCGCCAGCCTTCTCTCTCTCCCTTCCTCTTTCTTTATCTTTCACCCTCAGAATCATTCAAGTTATTGTGACCTCTTTTATGTGTTTATATCGTGTTGCCTGTTCCTTTGTATTGCCTCTTTTTTCCCGTTTATCAGTAGCCTTCTCTATCTCCATCTTTCATCTGCTAGTTTTAATTAATTCACCCTGTTTGCTTGTTATGCTTCTGTCATTATTGTTTGTTTCATAGTCTGTGCTTAATTTGTTATAGAGATATACTTGTAGTCTGTATCAAAGTTTGTTATTAATTTATATTTTCATATAGAATCTCTCGTCAAATGTGTTCTTTCTAACGTGGAATTGTTTGTCATACCTGCGCGGGCCCCAAGCCTCTGGCTGGCCTAGTAAGTGTTACTTGTTTGTCTTAGGCTGTTCACTGTGGTGTTCTCCTCTGTGGTGCTCCAGACTATGGTGATGTTCACTGTGGTGTTCTGCTCTGTGGTGCTCCAGACTATGGTGATGTTCACTGTGGTGTTCTCCTCTGTGGTGCTCCAGACTATGGTGATGTTCACTGAGGTGTTCTGCTCTGTGGTGCTCCAGACTATGGTGATGTTCTCTGAGGTGTTCTGCTCTGTGGTGCTCCAGACTATGGTGATGTTCTCTGAGGTGTTCTCCTCTGTGGTGCTCCAGACTATGGTGATGTTCACTGTGGTGTTCTGCTCTGTGGTGCTCCAGACTATGGTGATGTTCACTGTGGTGTTCTGCTCTGTGGTGCCTGCTTGATGGGGTTATGGGAGTTCTACTCCCCAAACACGGCCCGAGGGCCACCACATCTGTGGTGATGTTCTCTGTGATGCTGTCGTCTGTGGTGATGTTCTCTGTGGTGATGTTCTCTGTGGTGATGTTCTCTGTGGTGATGTTCTCTGTGGTGATGTTCTCTGTGGTGATGTTCTCTGTAGTGATGTTCTCTGTGGTGATGTTCTCTGTGGTGATGTTCTCTGTGGTGATGTTCTCTGTGGTGATGTTCTCTGTGGTGATGTTCTCTGTGGTGATGTTCTCTGTGGTGATGTTCTCTGTGATGATGTCGTCTGTGGTGATGTTCTCTGTGGTGATGTTCTCTGTGGTGATGTTCTCTGTGGTGATGTTCTCTGTGGTGATGTTCTCTGTGGTGATGTTCTCTGTGGTGATGTTCTCTGTGATGCTGTCGTCTGTGGTGATGTCCTCTGTGGTGATGTTCTCTGTGATGTTCTCTGTGATGCTGTCGTCTGTGGTGATGTTCTCTGTGGTGATGTTCTCTGTGATGCTGTCGTCTGTGGTGATGTTCTCTGTGGTGATGTTCTCTGTGGTGATGTTCTCTGTGATGTCCTCTGTGGTGATGTTCTCTGTGGTGATGTTCTCTGTGGTGATGTTCTCTGTGGTGATGTTCTCTGTGATGCTGTCGTCTGTGGTGATGTCCTCTGTGGTGATGTTCTCTGTGGTGATGTTCTCTGTGATGTTCTCTGTGGTGATGTTCTCTGTGATGCTGTCGTCTGTGGTGATGTTCTCTGTGGTGATGTTCTCTGTGGTGATGTCCTCTGTGGTGATGTCCTCTGTGGTGATGTTCTCTGTGGTGATGTTCTCTGTGGTGATGTCCTCTGTGGTGATGTCCTCTGTGGTGATGTTCTCTGTGGTGATGTTCTCTGTGGTGATGTTCTCTGTGGTGATGTTCTCTGTGGTGATGTTCTCTGTGGTGATGTTCTCTGTGGTGATGTCCTCTGTGGTGATGTCCTCTGTGGTGATGTCCTCTGTGGTGATGTCCTCTGTGGTGATGTTCTCTGTGGTGATGTCGTCTGTGGTGATGTTCTCTGTGGTGATGTTCTCTGTGGTGATGTTCTCTGTGGTGATGTCCTCTGTGGTGATGTCCTCTGTGGTGATGTTCTCTGTGGTGATGTCGTCTGTGGTGATGTTCTCTGTGATGTTCTCTGTGGTGATGTTCTCTGTGGTGATGTTCTCTGTGATGATGTCGTCTGTGGTGATGTCGTCTGTGGTGATGTCCTCTGTGGTGATGTTCTCTGTGGTGATATTCTCTGTGGTGATGTTCTCTGTGATGCTGTCGTCTGTGGTGATGTTCTCTGTGGTGATGTTCTCTGTGGTGATGTTCTCTGTGGTGATGTTCTCTGTGATGCTGTCGTCTGTGGTGATGACCTCTGTGTTGATGTTCTCTGTGGTGATGTTCTCTGTGATGATGTCGTCTGTGGTGATGTCGTCTGTGGTGATGTCCTCTGTGGTGATGTTCACTGTGGTGATGTTCTCTGTGATGCTGTCGTCTGTGGTGATGTTCTCTGTGGTGATGTTCTCTGTGGTGATGTTCTCTGTGATGCTGTCGTCTGTGGTGATGTTCTCTGTGGTGATGTCCTCTGTGGTGATGTTCTCTGTGGTGATGTTCTCTGTGATGCTGTCGTCTGTGGTGATGTTCTCTGTGATGCTGTCGTCTGTGGTGATGTTCTCTGTGATGATGTCGTCTGTGATGTCGTCTGTGGTGATGTCGTCTGTGGTGATGTCGTCTGTGGTGATGTCGTCTGTGGTGATGTCGTCTGTGGTGATGTCGTCTGTGGTGATGTCGTCTGTGGTGATGTTCTCTGTGGTGATGTTCTCTGTGGTGATGTTCTCTGTGGTGATGTTCTCTGTGGTGATGTTCTCTGTGGTGATGTTCTCTGTGGTGATGTCCTCTGTGGTGATGTTCTCTGTGATGATGTCGTCTGTGGTGATGTCCTCTGTGGTGATGTTCTCTGTGGTGATGTCCTCTGTGGTGATGTTCTCTGTGGTGATGTTCTCTGTGGTGATGTCCTCTGTGGTGATGTCGTCTGTGGTGATATTCTCTGTGGTGATGTTCTCTGTGATGATGTCGTCTGTGGTGATGTCGTCTGTGGTGATGTCGTCTGTGGTGATGTCCTCTGTGGTGATGTCCTCTGTGATGATGTCCTCTGTGATGATGTCGTCTGTGGTGATGTCCTCTGTGGTGATGTTTTCTGTGATGTTCTCTGTGGTGATGTTCTGTGGTGATGTTCTCTGTGGTGATGTCCTCTGTGGTGATGTTCTCTGTGATGATGTCGTCTGTGGTGATGTCCTCTGTGGTGATGTTCTCTGTGGTGATGTCCTCTGTGGTGATGTCGTCTGTGGTGATGTCCTCTGTGGTGATGTCGTCTGTGGTGATGTTCTCTGTGGTGATGTCCTCTGTGATGCTGTCTGTGGTGATGTCCTCTGTTGTGATGTTCTCTCTGGTGATGTCTTCTGTGATGCTGTCGTCTGTGGTGATGTTCTCTGTGGTGATGTCCTCTGTGATGCTCTCGTCTCTGGTGATGTCCTCTGTGATGCTGTCGTCTCTGGTGATGTCCTCTGTGATGCTGTCGTCTGTGGTGATGTCCTCTGTGATGCTGTCGTCTGTGGTGATGTTCTCTGTGGTGATGTTCTCTGTGATGCTCTCGTCTGTGGTGATGTCCTCTGTGATGCTGTCGTCTCTGGTGATGTCCTGTGATGCTCTCGTCTCTGGTGATGTCCTCTATGGTGCTTTAATCTGTGGCGATGTCATCTATGGTGCTTTCATTTATGGTGATGTCATCTAGTGCTCTTGTCTGTGGGAAATTTTTGTTCTTTTGTTTTTCAACGAATTTTCACCATTTTCAAATAATACACTTAACACATGCAAGTGTCAACTGAAATCATTTCTATGCCACTCAGTTATCACAACAGCATATAATAAAGGATTTAAATAAGAATTTGTATCCAATATATGTTTAGTTTTCTAATACAATTATTAAAAGTCCCCAGGAACATTATGCAACAACATTATATATATATATATATATATATATATATATATATATATATATATATATATATATATATATATATATATATATATATATATATAATGTCGTACCTAGTAGCCAGAACGCACTTCTCGGCCTACTATGCAAGGCCTGATTTGCCTAATAAGCCAAGTTTTCCTGAATTAATATATTTTCTCTAAATTTTTTCTTATGAAATGATAAAGCTACCCATTTCATTATGCATGAGGTTAATTTTTTTTATTGGAGTTAAAATTAACGTAGATATATGACCGAACCTAACCAACCCTACCTAACCTAATCTAACCTATCTCTATAGGTTAGGTTCGGTTAGTTACCCAAAAAAGTTAGGTTAGGTTAGGTAGGTTAGGTAGTCGAAAAACAATTATTTCATGAAAACTTGGCTTACTAGGCAAATCGATCCTTGCATAGTAGGCTGAGAAGTGCGTTCTGGCTACTAGGTACGACATATATATATATATATATATATATATATATATATATATATATATATATATATATATATAATGCCTGTCCTCTCACATTGTTCTTTAAATGGCTCCTTGGTGACAGCTATCTATCCAGTCACTTTTAGACCACTTTCTTTATCACAAGTTTTTCATATTTGTCTACGTAATTTGTAGGTTATGTGTAGTCTGTTCTTCGGAATTCCACATAATGGAATTCTTCATTCCATTATGTTACATTTACTTATGTTGAATTCCTTCTGCCATATGTTGCTTCACTTTATTTTGTCTAGGTAATTTTGTAGGATAGTAAAGTAATTTATGTCCTTGACTCTCCCTAGCAACTTAGCATCCTCTGCAAACATGCTCTTGTAACTCTATAAATAATCTACCAGAGGGAGTACATAGATAATAAGCATTACGGGTACAGGAACTGAACCTTTAAATACTCCGCTAGTGACACTTCTCCAGTCAGATACGTTGCCTCTCATCACTGCTTACATTTGTCTGTTAAAATAAAAGTTCTCATCCTGTCA